TCCAACCTTGTAGTCAGTTCTTTGTAACTCAGCTGCTCGCCCTGATTTCCATCTCCCAACACCTGTTGGGCTTGTCCCTTCAAGCTAGCTGCTAAGAAGTACGCCTTTTCCTCAGCTGTCCACGCATTGATCGTGGCGCAAGATTCGAAGTGTGCCTTATAATCCTGCCAAGGGATGTCCCCCGAGAATCGATCCGGGACAAAACTCGGCTTCCGTTGTGCTCGGTGATGGGTGTTTTCCTCTTTCGCGCTAGCTTTCCCTTCTTGTTCCACCGTGGGCCCAGGTTTCCTACTCTGGATCGTCGATCCCGCCAACCCTTGCTCCACCTTCGTTGGGGAAGACCTTTCTGGAGGCTGTTGCTGGCTCGACGCACCCTTTGCAGCCGAAACCTGGTGCCACGTGCCTGCCCGCTCACTTGAAATCGGCTTGTACGTGCTTCCCACCTGTCCTTGCCCTCCAGCTTCGGCCCAGGACAGGTCGCCAGAAGTGGCGGTGAAGACTTGTGTTCCGCTCGCAGGTTGCATTACCGTTGCTGCAAACCCCGGCGAAGTCCTCATCCCTGCCGTCATTGTGCTGAAAACCAGTGGCACATATGCCCCAATGGCAGTAGTTCCTGGTGCAGACACAGCTCCAACTTCCAATCCACTCGTTGGGAGTTCCTTGTGTCTTGCTCCCTCTGGGTTCCAGTCCCTGATTCCTCCGATCGTTGCTGGTTGCCTGTGGCCTATTGTGGCTCTCGTCCTCTGCCCAAATGGATTGATTGGAGTAGACGCCTGCAGTGGGCTCTGCATCCATGCAGCTGCACTTGGCTCTCCGGCGTTGCCCATCCAACCATGCTGGGCTGCTTCCTGCCTTTTCTCCACACTGCTTGCAGCTTGATCCCTCCACCCCTCCGGAACAGTTCCTATCATTCCAGTGAACCCACTTGACGCTACTTCAACGTGCGCCATGGTTGTAACTGGATAGGCCTGTTGCTGAGGCGGTGCTATGATGGGCTGATTCCCGGCGCTCTTATTAACTGGCATGTTGTACCCAAGTGCCACTTGAGGTGAAGTATCGCTTCCCCGGTATCGAAATTCCACACCCGAGTCGACTTCTTGCACACGAAGACTCGTTGGTGTGACGAATCCTGGCTCGTCTCTTCGCTCCATCCTGAGTGATTCCGCTCCCCTTGTTATTCCCCAGTAGATCACTCCCCGTGCTTCCACTGTAGTCCTTCTTGGTGGATCCCACCGCTGCCACCAATGTGACGTTGTCGTGCCAGCTCTCCTTCGTCAGGCTGGTTTGATAGGTAGCGTGCTGCCTCGATGGTGTCCAGTCCCCGCAGCGATGGGCCACGGCACAAGTTATCCTCAGTGGAATACCGTCAGTGGAATCCTCGGTGGAATACCGCCGATGGAAGGTGGAAGGGGTTTGTGGAATGGGATTGCGGAAGGGGAGTAGGGAAGGGTAATCCCTGAGATTCGTAATCTTCTCAGGCCCCTTTATCTACCCTAGGACTTTGGCCCTGACATTCGATGATTATCAGTCTAATTAGCATTAATTTGAGCCAGTGGAATGAGTGGAATCGGAGTCAGGAATCACGAACAATGGTCAAGCCTTTAATCCGTCCTCATCATCATCCTTATTTGTCTAGTATTACTTAAACCCCAATTACATGTTCCAATCATTAAGTTATCACTTGAATCATCTCTGAATCATCTGCCTAAAATCCTGTCGTGCAGCTGCTTTTATACCCCTGAGTTCACCCGGTAGCCTATAGCCCCAATATAAATTCAGTCTGCTATACAATAGTGCCTAAGTCCAACTGACCAATCAGCGATCAGGATCTGCCAATATGCAAAGTGTGGGTGACTCGATGTAATACAGTCATTATACAGACAGTGGTTGCATTGAATTTATCACATACACTTCGTGCTCCGTCACAATACTTTCATCATTCATGAAAATTGTAAAGGTGCACAGTGTCCTGTAGACGTCACAATTGCATAAAACTCACAGACGTGTTAAAGTGGGTAAAATCATACCAACATTCGATACACAAAGAGTTTTGTTTATTGAAATATTAAAAATAATAGTTTGCAAAGATTGGGGATCTATTAAACTAAACAAATGATTTCGTTTTGTTCAGTCCCCAGGGTGCCGTTGGATAAAATTTATCCTTAATCATTCTGTGCCGCACTGAATTTTACGCTAACACTTCTCATATCGTGAACAAAATGTGAAATTATCGTTTCTAATTCTAGTAATAAAATACATAATAAAAAAAGTATTTAAATTGCGCATAAATGTTAGTCAAAATACAGTGTATGGTATTATGTAGTTTATTAATGTTTTGTGTCAATTTTGGGGCGATTAATATTGATAAATGCAGCAGTTTTTGCGCAGAAGTACTTGCTTTATATTTTCAAGGTTGCCCCAACCCAGCCTTGAAAAATGACCAGTAAATGCTTGAAATCTGAAGCATTTACTCCTTTTTATTCATACGAAATGGAGTAAACACTTCTAGTCTAGCGAAAGCTAGCAAGTAAAAAGTAAATACTTTTAGCTTTCAGCAAATGCTTTCCAGTAAAAGCATTTGCTTCATTTTTATTCATACTAATGCAAGTAAATGCTTAAAAATGGGTAGTAAAAGCAAATGCTAGTTTTATACATACGACCCAATAAGTCAGCCGATACTGAAAAAACTTTATTCATATGAATTATTCATAAACACAAGAATCCAATGCTCTCTTTGGCTAAGCTGGGTGTCCTGAAAGCTATTCATGAAGCATGTAGCTCCAGATACGCGTTCTACTTATGTGAACGACGCTATAAACCTTTGCCAATGAAGCTATTTGTGAAGCTTGCAGCTCGAGCTATGCGTTTGACTTACATGAGCGATGCTAACCTTTGCCAACATTGGCAACATTTGCACAAGTGGGACCGACTGTTTGCCACAAATGTTGGAAAACAGCAACCAATACAGATGGTCTTCCTGATATTTCTATGTCTTCCCTGGCCAACACTTGGCCAACACTTGTACGCACAATGATATATCACAAATAATTTAGAGAAGTATGCAAACTGCTATTGTACTATTTAAGATCGAATGCGAATTGGTAAAGTCTACAGGTAAATATTCTGCTGGCCCATAGAGGCGTAACTCAAAATGGGCACATCCATGCGCACCAACTTATGGAAAGCTAACCAACTTATGTTCGGCTATTTGGTTGTCTGCTTTTGTATCGGAAAGCATTGCATAAATGAAAACTGTTTGAAAGCCTATGCAGCTGCATATTGAAAGTTGCTCTCCCAGGGCTCTTCAGCATATTCAATTTGTTTGTTTTTTCTTTTTTCTTTTTTAAATTTTCAACCCTGTGAAAAAAAAAAACATTTTATTTTTGGTTGCATTTGCACGCAAAACACACAAAAGATACGCGTGAATTATTGTTGGGCTAAAAGTGATTTGGAATTTGTAAAGTAATTATTCCATAACAAAATTTCGGAGGAGTTTGTTCATTTAAAAGTAAAGAACTGTTTGAATTGCTGGAAAAAAAATCGCAATTTAGTAACAAAAGCACGGGCAGAGCAACCTCAGGCATTGCAGTTTAAATGTAATTATATGTACTGTAATTCCAATAGGTTTCAATATGCACATTCATTCAGAATGTCTGCGAACGCGACATGTCCCAAAGTATCCTACGCCAGGGAATGCGTACTTATAAAGGGTGCGTTCGAGTGACTCACCCGGATCGACCTGTTAGCAGACGGGTTAGCCACGACAGCCGGGCTAATCGAACGTTCAAATGTGGGCCGTCACGATCCTCATGTGATGTCTGTAGCCGCAGTCGCAGCGACTGACAAAACGCCCATTTTGGACTGGGTCTTAGTTTGAGATTTACTGCTTTTCAGTCAATTGCAAAAGTAAAAAAAAGGGGCTGGAATTATAGCCTCTATAAAGTCGTAATGAACTCAATAAATGATTACCTTAAGACTTCAAATAAAGTTGATTTTTAGGTCCACTTGGGATTTCCACTGTCCGGCCACCATATTTGTCCGTTTCTTGGAATCGCATGCCTGTGACATATTTCCACCAGTGACTCTGCTCCACTAGTATAGCAGGGTCTGTGGTGGCTGACCCGGGTGAGCCCCGAGAATGACTGATCGAAGGACACGGGGTTAACCCAAGTCGATCCGGGTGAACTATACTCAAACACACTTAAAGCTCCATGGTTATGCTGTTTGCAGTTCACTTTAGCTCATTCTCTCTGTCAACCATATGGCTGTGCCCAGGACAGCTTCACGTTTACCCGGATATAAGAGCCACTGCATATTTACAAGGGATTTGTAATCTTACGATTTTTTTTTCATGGCATGATTCAGCGGATGAGACAGAAAAACAACGCCTTCTAGATGCAGATCGCCAGAAGCCTCTTGCGAATTCGTTATTGTTTGATCAGCTGAAGAAATACCTCCCTGTCTTTGGCATGGACATTCGAAACGATGTCCCTGGGGAAGGCAACTGTTTCTTCCACGCGGTGAAAGACCAGCTGAAACGCCTGGGCCGTAGTCCTGTACCGAGTGCTGCAGATCTGCGAAAAAAATTGGTTGAATTTCTTCGCCAGTTGGTACTGAAATGAAATGTTTGTCTCCGTTGTGATTGTAGGCTGTTTTCTGTAAAACTCGTGGATCACAAGAGAGGATAACATGTGTGGTCTTTTCTTTCGAACACTGGAAAGGGTGATATAAATAAAAGAAGATAAAATTTGAAAACGAAAGTCAGTCAAAAAAAGAAATAAAATTTACATTGCTTTTTGGGGGCAGGGAAATCCACCTTTGAATTTGTCTGTAGAAAATCTTTTTTAATGTAAGATTTGTTTAAAGAGGAACTGTCTTTTCTCCTATTGACTTTTCAACTTGAACATATGTATCACTTTAATAAAAACAACTATTTCTTTTTTAGGAAAAAAAGGCTTTTATTTTGGGTTACTTTTGCTCTTTCCTGGACCCTACATTATTTATTCTGATAGGGAGGCGGGAATCAGTCTACCCTGCAAGAACTGAATTACTGTCGAGCTGCAAATAATTTCAAACTTGTAAAAAAGTCAAGGTCTTGTCTTTGCTGAGAGAAATACACAAACTTAAGTCAAATCTGACTTCTCTCACATTTTCACAAATGTGTAATTTTTTGTTCTTTTTAAATGTTACTTTATGCATTGTGTTGTATGTGCACTGCATTCAGCCAAGGATTAGTTTTTGAATTAATGAGATTTGTTTTCCTTTTTAAGGAGCCTCATCATCAGATATCAAAATCCTTGGCATCAGCAACAGAAAATGGAGCCGAAGACCACCTGATCAAACTAGCTAAAGACGGTACGTATGTCGAGGCACAGGATGTTGCAGGAACTGCTGAAATGCTCAAGCTGGATTTGATTGTGGTGAAGAGCACAGATGATGGATTTATGGTAGTGATTAATAAGGGCAATACCGGTACCAAGAGCGGATGTCTCCTGCTAGGCCTCTTCGATGAGCATTACATAAGCTTGAGTAAGTTTTCTGTTTGAAGCCATATTTGAAAACAGTGTCACATTATTGGGTCTTCCCATGAAGTTGAGATGTAAGACTTTAACACATTTTGAATTAAGGATCTATGTTGATTTTGATTGTGACTCTTCGCAAAGAATGTTTCAGGGCATTTGGATGTTTTCAGCAGGAAGTTTTAACATGATGTTTTAAGAAACACGGGTTGATGATGAAACATGGAGACCACGACTTTTATTTTGCCGTATTAAAGTTTGTTTTTTTACCCCAGTTTTCCCCAAGTAATTAGCTGAAAACATTACACCCTAATGTGTTAAATTTCAGAGATTGAATGTGTAGCCTAAGTGCTATCTCAAAGCAGATAAATTCACAAAATATTGAAAAGGGGACATTAACATCAACTAGCAGATGTCTCGAAATAGCACCAAGACTCCAACTTAATACAAGTTTGAAATGGGCTTTAATATTCTCAGCTACAGGTATTCATTTAAGGAAAAAGTAGATGAAAATCGACATGATGACATGGTGATGTCATCACGTGATTTTATATAGATTTAAAATTCTCTGTGATATAGCTTTGTTAGGTCATGGATATTTGCACAAAAGTGTGAACCTTGTGTGATGTCATCATGCATGACGTCATCAAAAATGCATTATTATTTTTTAAAACGTCAAGAAAACTTGATGGGTAGGTAAATAATGTTACTAGTATGCTACGTTGGAAATGACATCAAGATGACGTCAACTAATTTTTAATAAAAGTTTTACATTTTTGGCTACTGGCAAAAGTTTACATTAATGAATGTGTTCACGAAATTATCATTTAAAAGACTGCACGTCGCCAAAAAAGCATAAACTAAAAAAATCATAATGCGAAAAACCCTATGTTCTGGTCATTCAACGGACATATTTTTAAATTATTAATTTAGTAACATATTTAATCAGAAGTGGCCTAAGTTTAATAGTAAGTAGTGATTTGTTTCAGTTGATTTTACTAAGCAGAACATTTTTTTTTTACAGAATCATATAAGGATCGACGAGCAGGTAAGTACAAACATTTCTCGTTCTTAATTTACTCGGTTACCATTTTATTTGATTAAGGAATTTTTCATGGCTTCAGTAACTTTATTGATATCCATTATCGAATGACACAAAATTTGCTTCATGGAGAAATACAGACTTTTCCCAAATTATCTTGTGATTTTTTGTGAGTGCTAAGCCACATTTTTTCTTTCAATTGTGCACATGATGAAAAGGTACACTTATAAAGGGCTTTGAAGACGGTCTTGTTGGGGTTTTCATTATTGAAGTCGTCAGGACTTTTCAATGGCCTCCACCAAGGGTGAACAACCCCCCCCCCAAAAAAAAATGTTTCCTTATTTTTATTTTTTTTAGCGCCACTAGCAGAGGATGAGGAATTTGACTCTCAAGGTAAGCCTTGTGAGACTCTTTTTTACACTTTAACGTTTTATTTTAGTGTGGATAATTCTTTTCTGCAAAACAGTACATAAGTTATGTTTATAGCACCCATGTGTATGTTTTGTGGCCAAATTGTCAACCTCGACCATTTGGCCAAACATTTAAAATGAGTTATATCTTGCAACAGTATTAAGCAGCAGGGACAATTTCTTATCAACTGGTTTTTATCCCCCTTGCTGTAACTTGTAAGCCAGAGGGGGATTTATTGCGATAGCGTATTCCTTCTCTGTAACTTGAGAAATACTTTAGTTAGGAACTTGAAATTTGGTTCGTGGGTTGCTCTTGGTAGTCTTAAGAAGTTTAATGATTTTGGGGCCGACAGTGTCAAAGGTCAAGGTCATTTTTGCTTAAACACTAGAAATCTTCCATTTTGGTGTGGGACATTGACTTTATAAAACTGCTAGCATGCCAGGGGGATTGCGCAAGTCTCACTTGCAGTATGTTTTTGTGCTGTTAACGCTCCAGAAAAAGCAACCAAATTGATTTGAAAACTTCCATCCTTATCCTGAAGTTAAACCCCATTAAATAAGCCGATCCCACAAACTATAAGCCATATACCTGTGCGTGTGAACATTTCTAGCACATGTAGGGTGTACTGTTTGCGTGTTTTCTAATCATGGCACTTTGCAAAAATGTCCTCTCCCGTACAAACACTATGTTAATTCACTTTTACGTGTGTATATATTAATTACGTTTGTTTACCCAGGGTTTGCTGAAACAGTTTGTGGTTTTCATTGGGGCCCTGCATACATTACAGATTATTAATTAAAGTTGAATGTAGGCAAAGTAAAATTCACAAGGACTATAGAAATAGTTTCACAAAGCTATTCATTTTAAACATTCAAGTACAGGGTACCCCCCCCCTCAAAAAAATAAATAAATAAATAAATAAGATAAATAAATAATAAATAAATAGATAAATTAATATATTAATATATAAACAAAACAAACAAACCTATAAGGCACATATAAATATTAAGTGGAAAAATGTAATGTTGCTGTATAAAACTGTGCTTTCTGAGTACAGTCTTCAACTTAATTTGTGTAAAAAAAATCCTACACCTAGCAAATATGTCTGTGTAATCAGTATGAAATATTTAGTATCAAGCCCGAATTATGCTAAATTATGTGATATAACTTACACCATATTGAATCAAAAGTTGTTTCATTTCGGTTGATTTGACTAAAGCAAAACCTTTTTCTTTTTCAGGATCATATCAGGATCGGCCAGCAGGTAAGTACAAACATTTCCTAGGTTTTTTTTTTTAACTTTCTAGCTTATAATTTTATTTTTTTCTAAGAATTGAGATCATGGCTGCAGTAACTGTATTGATATCCATTATTCATTGTGAAAAAACCAAATAGGAGCCACTCCCTCTATGGTTTAAATATTTGTTGTCGTGAATTTTACTTTTAAATATTTTTTTCCAGCTTGAGTGTATGTAAAAACATGTGAAATGCTTTTTTTTAGCCCTTGGAAATGATAATACACTGTACATGTATTGGCCATGAACAGTGAAATCAGTATGGAATATTTAAGTGTTGCATTGACAAAGCAGTTTACGTGTAACTTGCAAGTGCGTTGTTGTGCAACATTAATTTTTAAATGTTGTATTTCAGGTGTTGAAGCTGAGCCTATATATCAGGACCCAGCTCAACAATTAGATCCCCGCTTGTCAGTCCAACCCAATCCCAGCAATAAAGCCCAACCTCAGCAATCGCTTCCCCCAGACAGCCCGTCAGTCAAACCCAAGCCCGGCAATAATTACCAAACTCAGCAATCGGGTCCCAGCTCGTCTACCCGGCCCAATCTCGACAGTGGAGCCCTTTTGCAACCTCAACAATCGGTTCCCGGATCACCAATCGAACCCCCGAATCCAGAGTTTTTCAAGTCTGTAAAGTCATTTCAGCCCTACAATCAATTGGATTCTAGCCGGCCAAATCCACCCGAGATAATTAATTCGGAGGAAGAAATGTAGTATCCAAACGCCACTTCATCTGTTATGTACAAAGCCAATGCAGAGTCAAGAACACTTTCAAAGTATTGCCTAACAAAATTGGAAACGTTTCACAGTCCGAGATTCATGTATTTTCAACAATTTTGCAATGACCAACCATCATTTAGAAGATATGATAAAAAAGTGGTGTCAGGATGCAACATTCTTTTCAATTTGGAAAGCAGATCTGGCACTGGAAGTAGCGACCAAAGAAACTGATCATCGGTTTTGAGTAATGTATAATTCCCTTCGTGATCGCTTTAGTTTCCTTCTGAATTTTAACAACCTGTAGTGTATTCCTCCAATGTCTGAAAACTGCCACTTTCTTAATCATGCATCATCACTGTAATTATGTTCCATTACATGTATTCCCTCATTTACTCTATTCAAAGGGTACACTTGGAAAATTAAAAATTAACCGCCTTAAATGACCACCTTCCATAATCTTTTTAATTCAGGTGAAATTGAACATTGTGTGTGAAAATTGTAAACGAAATGTATTTTTGTACTATTAACTAATGGTTAAATTGTCTTATTTTATCAAATAGAATGTAACATTAAGTGCCTAATATATGTACATTATAATATACTCCATACTTTTGTATATTTAGAATTTAAATTGCAAATCTTCAGTTTTTCTCTCTTTTTTCATCATTATATTTCGTGGTTTAGAATTGCAATTGATGTATAGATGTAGATATTTTTTACTTGTTAATAGTGCCTTAATTGTGCCTTAATAGTGCATTAATTGTGTGAAATGATATTTCGAAAAGCAGGTGATAAAAATGTGATTATATCGACATGGATGCCATTCTAATAACCGCAAACATGATAAATTTGCATCTAAATCTGAATGTGAACGTATTTTAGCGAGTTGAGGTGAACTACAAATGATTCATTCTAAAGAAATGTGTGGAAAGAAACTAAATTTTACAAGTACTGAACTTTACAACTTCTTACATAAAATTAGAATATAAATAAAAAGTAGTATGAATATAAATGAAATATGAATATTTGTGTTGTGGGCAAAAGCCATTTCTGATCACCGTGGGTCGGATATTAAGAATATTGTATAATATTTGTTATTTTTTTAACACATTCTTAAAAAAAAAATCTTGGATTTGGTCACAAACTGTAATGGAAACCGAGCGGTTCAACAAAAGCAAAAAATCCACAGATCGCTTTTATTTTGTCTACAAATTGCCAGGCTTGCTTTTCCTCTGTATGGACTTTGAAATAAGGTCAATTCAATTTCAATTATAATCGCGCTCGATTTGGTATTTGCCCGCGTGTAATATTTAAAACAAATACTAGTACGTGGTTTGTCAATATGGAAACTAGTGCCGGAAATAGATAAGTACTAGTCTATGTAGATATAGAACTTAAATAGGAATGATTAAAATGGTCTGAACATGTTTTTTTTCTTTCATTATGCCATATTTACAAGCCAGTACTGAAATGTTGTACGCTATTGTTTTCTTTTTAAGCTCAAAGGAGCAGCAAACTCTTATAATTGAGATGTGTTTGTTTTGCATAGATTTCTTTGGTTGCCATATTTTTAAACTTAAACTATAAATTTAAACGTTGGGGATGAGAGGGGGGGGGGACGGGGACATGCGAGTAATTTTGTCCCGGTCCAAAGTGTGACATTTTCCCCTGATCTTGTTACCGTTTTGTTTTTTGTTACTTTGTCATTTGCCATCTAAGTATCAAATTAAAAGAATGACTGCAAACAATTTTATTATTTTTAAAGTTTGCTTTGCTAATGCTTGCTTGCTATTCATAATCACTCTGGGAAGACGATTGGATGAAGGAGTGCATCAGAATATTAAAATAATAGACGTCAGTAGAATTACAGTAATGTAGTTGTCAAGTTTGAATAATACAACCTCATAATAGCAATGTACCTTTCTCTCGTTATGTGTGATGATTATTGAATGTTGTTGATTGCCAAGCGCGCGGTCATGAAGGACTATAATGCATCTATACCTTTAAGGAGAGATTACATAAGGCCTGTGAAATGGCAAAACAATGCTGACAGCTAGAGAGGCAAGACAACCTGCTATGACGAAAGTGTCAGAGAAAGAGTTTTAAGCCAGCAAATCAAGTTGTACTCCTAAGGGAAATAACAATTGCAATTAACAGGGACGGGAATAAAGTGTAGAAAGACCTATAACCACAATGCCGTACGAAGTCTACACGAGTTTTCTTCAGTGTGTATATTTTACCTATAACCTCCATCGTTTTCTGCGGGTTAATCAGTGATTTCTTAACATCCTTCAATTATATTAAATAGTCCAACCATCGCCATCTGGTTCGGCTCCAAATCGTGCATCCATGCATTTTGATTGAAATGTTAACGGATTATTGTAAAGGAGTCGGAGTTATCGCAAATACAAAATAGAAGGCCATGCAGTTGTTTTTTTATGCACCCCTCTGGCCTAATTTTAAAGAATTTTGGCTTAGTGGCGTAGCGCGGGAACATCTAGACTGGTTCCCGGCCTCTCAATATCGGGACAGGTATATGGTGCATATTATATGCGTGACTAGTAGCCTAGGTCTGATTCCGCCGCCTGAATACAGAATTAGAACGATGATTGTAGCGCGAAACCAGCCTATTGCAAAATGGCGACATGGAGATACCAACACTATTGCGAAATTTGTGTGGTGATAAGGCCAAAAAAAATATAGTCGGTCTCTTGTCAAACCGAATTTCCGGAATTGATGCGGCGACGCGTTTTATTTATTTATTTTTTTTTGGTGGCTTTTTTTTTTTCAAGCCAATTGTACAGACAAGGTGGGTACTATTTTGCTCTTTTGTGTCCTCATTATACATTAATGCCCTCCATAATTTGCCTTGGTGCCCTTTATCGTTTACCTTGCTGCAATTTCCCCATTCCTTGTTGCTCCTTGGTACAAAAAATTGAGGAGGTGCGGCAACAGAGGGCGCTGTTGTAGCAATTTGAAGGGGAAAAAAAGGTTGACGCGCATGATTAAAATCGACGCGCGCGCTGACCAGAGACCGAGTATTTTTTTGTTTTTTGGCCTAAGCTTCGATTGTTTAGAGAGTGTCTCGGGCAACTATCAATAAAAAGAGGGGCACATTTGTTATTGAATACATGCATGAGCAATGGTTAAATCGATCATTGTGCGAAAGTTTACTCATGGATAAATCGTGACATTTTGTATCGCATTTTTTTATACGTGATTTCATATCTTATTGTACTTGGTTTGTGTATTTTGGGATTGAATGTAGTCTCTAATGTGATGAGAATATCGGCATGTACGTGTTTCCGTTATTTAGAATTAAAATATATTGAGCACATGAGGTATGAATCTATACATTTGATATATTGTCCCGTTTTAGTGTAAGTTGAGGTGATCATGAATAAAGAATTACAAATTAATCATATGAACGTGATTTGTAAAAGAAACTAAACCTTACAGGCTGAACCTTACAGGTACTTATATTTCAAGTTGTTGCAAGTTGGAAATGTGTTTTGTATTAGGTACGTGTGTGGAAAAGTGTTAAAAATGGCAGTATAGACATTGGACAGATCGTAATTATTTTGCACTTCATATTGATACACCACTTGGTTGACGTCCTTTAATTTATGGGCAATTCCATGAGAATGTCGACATAGCTGAAAATGGGAAAATCTAATGAAATCTTCAGATTGAGTGGTGTGCCAGTGAGATGGTATGTCGTATGAATTTCTGTCAAAAGATTTCGTGTACTTATTTATTTCATTTATTTTTTTTTGGGGGGGGGGGCCTAAAATTATGGATTTTAAGTAGTCATTTTGGGCACCTTGTTTTTACACGCAAATGTAAACTTGTTTAATAGTATATATTTTCGGTTTTCACGGTTCGAGAGAAAGGTCCATACTTTGTGCCAAACGAGTTTTTTTGTGACTCGGAGATATTTTTTTTTTCTATCTTGTATCAAAGATGGATGAACAAAATGTAATTTACGTGAGTTACTGTAATATATCGCGCTAGGAATTTTACGATTGGTATTCTTTTAAAATAATTATTATGGTACCATATGACTTGCAAGCACCCTAATGGTGTAAGGGCACTGAACAGATTTCTCTAACCGTGAGTTACAGTATGAGAAAACTTTCAAATGCAAGGTATCTATTGTTTTCCATGTCTATTTTGTGTAACGTGAGGTACCGATAAAAGACTTACTGCCAAACCAACACAATTTTATTTGCCTTTTTGTAGTTTAGTCGCTTAAAGCTATAGTCCATCATTTGCAGCCATCCGAAAACGTAACTGGCGTATTATTGTTGAAAAACATACTTGGTTGAAAGATGGTAAGTGAACTAAACTCCCTGTGAAATTATTCTTTCTGGCAAGCTGTCATTTTGAAGTAATCAACGAAAGAAGGCCTTTCCAACGGTGCGTCTTAAGACGCACCGTAGGAGAATTTAAATTAGTAGTTCGTTTTGTTATTCGGCGCAGCGCGCGCAAGCATTGGCACGACGCACAGGCGCCCGCGGTTGCTATAATTCGTCGGATCAGTGCGCGACATCGCGTAAAGCTGCAATTCAAAACAATTCAAAACATGATTCAGCAACTTTTGATTTGAAATTGAGATCCTAGAATGCTGTGTTTCTCGGAATATACAGCTGAAGCTGAGCTGAAACTTCATCAGGTTAGTTGTTCAGTATCCTTCATTAGATTTTGAACACTTTTGTTGCTTCAAACGAACAAAATGCACAAACTACAAATGATGGACTAGATCTTTAACTTCATGGGAAATTCCGTCCTAAATCTGTAACTTTATTGAGTAACAGTACAAAGTTGATGGAAGACCCCTTCTCAATGTAACGTGAGTTACCGTGGAATTGCCAATGTGCTGATATTATGTAGGTGAAAATGAAGCTTGTTTCTATCGATTCCATTGTGCAAGAATTGTAGAAAGGCCTATGTAAATGGTTGATGCTATTTAAAGGATGATGCTTGATTCTATAGGCGCTAATGTTACGGTAACGTTGTAGGCCCTAGTCAGGCAGCTTAGTGAATGGATGTAGACATTCCGGACAAAAGCGCCAAATTTTCCATACAGGCTCCTCAATGCCTTAGCTAGTCAATTTTTGATTCAACCAACTTATCCAATGACATCATGGCGGCCATCTTCGATTTTAAAGATGGCGGCCATTTAAAACCTGCATCTACCAATATCTCATCTTCTAAGCCACTTAGGATTAAAGTTTTGGTGTCTAAACATAGGCCTACATATTCAGGGTCAAGGAATGCAACTGTACCATTTGGGATAGTGTCAAATGGTTAGTTTGTCCAAATACAGTATTGTGGCCATCTGGTATTTGAAACGTGGCCGCCATTTTAAACTTAAATCTCCGAATACGTGTATTGCATCTTTAAGCCACTATAAGGATCTAAATCTTGGTGTCTATACATATATTTTCAGGGTTATGGAACGCAACTAAACAATTTGGATTAGTACTTTCGGAAATCCGAAGAGGAAATGCCAGTAAGGGGAGGTGCAAATTACTTGTGTTGGTGGGTTTCAAGCATCCAGTGATCAAACTGCATGTTGTTTAAGGATGGGCTGATCTCTCCCAGGCGGGGCACGCATACTCTGCTGAAGAATGGCGCGGAGCCAAAATTGTTCATCTTAGGGTGTGTGGTTTGGCTCTCCTTTCGGAGGTTGTTCAATTTCTTTATGATGTTACGGAGAACTAAATTTGGATGACTTGAATGACAAGATACGATGGAGTGTCACCCTAAGGTAGACAGGATGACTACAAGAGACCAAGGGCCCATTTGAAGGGGTCGGTTGGCTTCGCGGTTAACGTTCCTGAGATGGAACGAGTAGATTTGGGCCTTATAGAGATTGGCACGGGGGTGATTTCGCTCATAGTATAGAGACGGCTACGTGCTGAGCTAAGTTTTAATTGCTTCTATGGCTTCGAACGGGATGTAACACAAAGATCGTCTGCGTAGATAAAACGCTCAATGTCCTGGTCTAAATCAAATTGTGATTTGTTTTGTGTAGGCGTTATACAGCAACGGAGCGAGCTATTTTCTTGCCGTCGATAGCGTTTTTGTTTTGTTCTGAACAATTCGAAGCTGTCTTTCAGAAGGGCTTCGATATGATCCGTAAATGCGAGGTATTGGGTCAACTCCAAGATCTTTTTGGGAGGCGGCAGTGGTTTACAGTATTATATGTGACCGAGCGAATGATCCGCAAAAATAGCTCCACTTATTTGTCGTTTTGAAACCCATCCTCGGCTTGCTGGCCGCAATCCAGGTTGCTGAGGGATAAGGGATGTTTCAGCAATTGGGACATGCCTGTTTAGGATCAGGCACTCGAACATGAACAAAAACTGTAATGGGTTCCTGTCTGTACCATGTTACCTGTTACATCCAAAGCCTGCAGTGCACTAGATAATGTGGCTTCAAGAATCAAAGTGTATGCGGTGCTGAGTGCAATAATTTCTGCAGTTGCAAATGTGAGAATTAGGGCGAGCACTTTTAAACTGTAAACTTTTGTGAGTGAGGACATTTATTCTCATATAATGTTGTGTAACTTCATACAGTATTTTCGGTGACTGCAGTATATATCAACGGTATTCTGTTCGAGACGTTATCGTCAATTTGACTATTTTGTGTGTATAAGTAAACTCATCTTGGTCTCTTCTGAATAAAAGAGTTGTATTTCCTGACCCTGAAAATGTATGTTTTGACACCGTAGGCTGAGATATCAGTAAATGCATTTATTATTTGGCGGCCATCTTTAAAATCGAAGATAGCCACACTAGTGTACAAACTGAACATTTGACACTGTCATATATGGTATAGTTGCATTCCTTGACCATGATTGTTTGGACGCCAACATTTTAATCCTGGCTTAGAAGAACAAATATTGGTAGATATAGCTTTTCAATGGCGGCATCTTTAAAATCCAAGATGGGCAACGCAATGTATGGACAAACAAACCATTTGACACTTTCCCAAATTGTACAGTTGCATTCCTTGACCCTACACAATTAGTTTAGGCACCAAAACTTTAATCCTAAGTGGCTCAGAAGATGAGATATGGGTAAAAATAGGTTTTCAATGGCAGCCATCTTTAAAATCCAAGATGGCCGCCATATTGTTATTGGATAAGTTGGTTCCTGTCACAAATTGAAAGCTAAGGCATTGAGGAGCATGTATGGACAATTTGGCGCTTTTGTTTGGAATGTCCACATCAATTCCAAAAGCTGCCCGACTATTATCGTTAAGCGGTAGGAGACTTCTTTTCACAGAAAGTCTCCTAGAAATGATTGTCATAGTTTGCTCATTTGGAGACATCGGATCAGATTGTTGAGAACTGCACCTAACCGAATTTCAGACACTTCTGACTGAATAGACCCGAGACGTAATGACGTAATGGCTTTGTTTACATATGCGCTTAATGGGAGCGAAGTCAGGAAGCCAGATAAAGTGGGGTCCGCCTACTACATAGGAAAGCGTACATGTCAACAAAGTGTGACGTCATTACGTCTTAGGCTTATGACTTTGTCTCAAGTTCAATCGGACACTGATTGCAGAACGCAGATGTACCGTGGCCTGCCTTACCGTCGTTGACAACATCCGGTGCGTCTTATAGAAAACCAAATCAAGACAGATACCAGCCTGATGGGTTGGTCTGGACCAGATATAGTTGTGTGCAACCAGAAACACGGGTGAAGTCTAGTGCAGCACGTCCATAGGCGTCTGCCGGTGACACTGAAGCAAACCATTCTCGGTGATGGGCGTTGATCACCAACAAAAACAAACACCAGTCAGTTGCCGTGTCAAGCGCAGCCTGCTCTGTTTTCCCGTCCAGTAACTTACAGCAACGCGAGGCCAGCGACCGATGGCCGTTAAGAATGGCTTTCGAAAATTTGCAATTTTATGGCAAACCACAACCGATCCAAACTAAGTTGTCTCATGTAGTTAAAGACCTACTAAATACATCTATCCAGGTATTTCTTTTCTCAAAAAAATGGTTTCGATGAATTTTGACGATATTATTCCTCGGACAAATCGACTAAAAATTATGTCATGAAATTTCCGGGTTTTTTCGAAAACGACGAAAGTCTCCCAAATGTTAATATACTCAAAGGAAAGAATGAACCTTCATCTACAAAATATCTCGTGATAGTGATGTCGTTCATATCTTAAGAATTCAATGTACACCTAATGTTTCCAACAACTTCCATTATTCACAACGCGAAAAAGATCGTCGCCATTGCATGCATCGTAAAAGCATACAGCAAGGAACGCAAACACGGTATGACCTTGTGACCCCACACGCGCCGCCCGCCCACTGATTGGTCAAGCTGGAGATGGCTCCTTAATATTCATGTCATTCATTGCACGTTCGCACGTGCTGTTCAAGAAGTTGGCCTACTTTAATACGTTCGTTTACACGCGTACATGTGATTGCAACTTATGAAATCTCGCAAAAGTCTTTCAACCGGCGATTTGGACCAAACATTAGAATTCTCCTCAGTGTTTCACATGAAATAGAAGCGTACTACTTTCCTCTTTCTGTTTACCCTAAAGGGGCCGGGGGCGGAATCCGCCCCCCCCCCTCAACATTTTCCGTGATAGCTTCTAAAAATCATTTTTTCGCAACCCGAGCTGTTATGACTTTTTAGCCTCGAGCTTTGCGCATCTTTTGATACCAAAAACATAAAAATCGGACCCCGGGTTGCCGCGTAGCGAAAAATTTTCCGGCGCTACGCGCCGTGAAAACTGAAATAGTTTTGCATATACTTCGTGTACACAGAGCAGAATTGCCATTCGTACATATGAATAATTAATTAGCCATAATTCCAAAACCCTTTGGCCTATAGTCATGAAATTTCTTGGGTATGTTTAGGAAGAGTTGCTCTATGCATGTGCCGAGTTTCACAATTTTTCGTCACTCGATTGCCGAGATCTTAGGGGGGGGGGGCGGAATCCGCCCCCCCCCCCCCGGCTGAGGGATGGTCAAAATAACCCGGCCCCTTTAGGGTTAAGCCTGGCCATCTTTTGGCCGTTTTTAAGAATCGAATGTACAACCTAAAACTATCGGCCCTCGCTTTTGTAGATATAAAATATGATTTTGTTTGACCATGGAGGAATAAGAACACATAATATGAATACACATGTTCTTATATTCCTCCATGGTTTGACAGGCCGTAATACAAAAGCAGTTATATTTCATTTGGTATCAAAATAAAGCACACGATTTAAATTTTTCACTTATTTAGCCATCTTGGCCAAACAGTGCACGTATCGTACTTTTTGTGCTTTTCTGTAGTCTCGAATACATCTCGTAAAATCTCGCGCACGCTTTTGTGCCCGTGCGTGCGTGACCCGCCCGCGGGACAAGAAACTGAGGTCAAACGGGGCCCGGCTGTTTGCGTGATGGCCACTGACTAGACTGAACACGTCTGCCTTTACTCGATCATCTTCGGCGGTCATAGTGGCCGGCAGTTAGCAGACAATCGTAAATGGAGCTCGTCTCAATCCGCACTTGACGCACCAAAGATGTAAAAATTCTGGAGTTTGGCGTGCAAACGGACAACAGAAAATTCGTGATGCATTTGTTGTTCGTCTTCTGTGAGCCGAGAAACCTTCACGGATATGAAGTCACAACGAATGAGCAAAGGCTGACAAACCCAGGAATTTTCAGCTCTGCACTAGCTATGACGAAAGTATTAAGAAACTAACGTTTCAGCACGGATGATGACGTCATGAGATTGACCTAAACGATGCGCCAAGATGGGCAGCTCCACCTTAAGACAAAACAAACAAACATGATGTATTTTTGATTCGCACTTATCTGAGTTGGGAGAAGCGGAAGATGGAAGAACAGATACGTGACTATTACACCATTGCAGAGTCAACTTCTACAGAAGACGGACACCATCTTTCGGGGGGCGCTGCATTGCTACATTATAACTCCGCTATTCGCTTTCCAAGGGACAATAAACAGCCACTCGCTTAAAAAACTCATATGGCTGTGCTTTTTGCCGGATGCCCGGCAAATGAAAGCTTCATTTAAGTGTTGATGCTTTATGTTTATGTTTTGGATGGTATGCATATGCAACATTCAACAGAGGGCGCTATGCATACCGGAAGTAGGGCCGGGATCGCGCCGTGCAGTTGGAGTAGTGTAAGGATCCCAAACCATCGGCATGATCGGTAAGGAGATTCCTTAGTTTCCTTTGATTCCTCTATAGGTGAACCACATTTGGAAATGTTGGGCACAGTTGCAGAATACCCTGCCACTCGATCGATCTATGCGCCACCGTCACGGTGTATGCATACGCGATTTATGAACACTGCGCCGCTCACTGCGGAAAATGTGCTGAGTATTGCTATATTAAGTACGGCACCTACTAGTACTACTGCTAGTAGTAGTAGTAGTACTAGCCCAGGTACGGTAGACTCCTTTCCTCCCTACGTAACGGAGGGAGTCCAGGGTATGAAGGGCTCAAAACCGGGCGAAAAAAATTATGACCAATATTTTCAATATTTTTAGTAAATTTTAGTACCTTGTTGGAGAAGCCATTTTTACGTCAGAGTATTCTATGGAGTATGTGTCTTTATCTATTGGGCCGCTGGGTTCAGGAATTCCATATGCAATGCTGATCGACCTTAATCAGGAAAATAAACTCTAAAGCAACCTTAAACTTGTACGTGTTTGTAGACTCTTTTCATCAGTTTCTCACCGCCGAGTCTATTCTAGTCGAACATGACATACGTCCGTGCAGGGTGTAGTCTGGTTCCCTAGACCTGACAAATTATTCTCGGCCCTCATATCACGTCTGGTCTGCAGGTATGCAACTTTTCCTTGGATCAGCTGATTTCCTCTTTTTTTTCACTTCCAGTGTGTGCCATTGAAAATAGAAAAACACTGTACAAAGTCTAGCTGGGAAAGATTTGAATTTCCTCTTTTTTTGTGTGACTTCCCAGTTGCATGCCTGGGTCTGGGAGCCAGACTATGAAAGGAAGAGGGAAGAAGAAAACAATGGAGATTGTAAATAATAAACACTGTTGCTCAAAACTCGGCGAAGCTGAAATCAGGTTCTGCAACCCATGGCAAAAGATAGTACATTGTACATTCTGTCATGTTGTCACGAGCTGCCACGCAAGGTACCTTCACATACGGCGTTTGACAGCTACAGCTGCACAAAACACAAGCATGTGGCAGTTACGAATTGAGCGGATATACTTTGAAAGGATTGAGCAATTTCAGAAATTTTTCATCTAAAAGTACCGGTAGGTTATCAAATTGGCTTTCCAGTCATTATTATTTTGGTGCTACATATATTTTAAAATCTGAAATACACTTTTTTCAGTTTTGGGTTCCGCTTTTTTTTAAACTCAACCTGTAGAGCAGGTTATGGGACACTACCTATATAGGCTCATGCCCTGAATCGTAAGAAAAAAGTATGTAAATTTGGTAAAAGGTGTACATGTACTTGGGATTAGGAGCCTTTCTCCAATAGAGAACAACAAAATACCTGAATGTTTTTTTAGACTGGGCAGATCAATCTTCCCGCCATAGTTTGGACCGCCCAAACTACAGTTGTGATGGGTTGCTTTTGTTTGGATATTCAGCAACACATGCTTAAATGTAAAAATATTTATAAAGTATGTTTTTGTTGAATATGTGCATTGATTAACATTTTTACCATTCCATGCATGATCTAGGTTGATATTCCAGCAGCGCATCCTGAATCGTTACAGCTGCAGCCATGTTGAGTCGTGGCATGATGTCTTTCACCCTAATTCTCATGGTTGTGGTGCCCACTATCCTACTAACTGGTCTTGACGGAAGTACAGGTACCATGGTAACGGTGAGTTTTCTCCTGACAAATTTTCAATTGTATGTTTTGGTTTAATGAAAAAAAATACTTTATTCCGATTGGGGGGGGGGGGGCTTGCAACCTTTTGAAAAATGGCTTTCATTTTGCACAAATCTAATCAATTGAATTTTGAAGAAAAAAATCAATAGCTAAGGCCAAAAAAAAAAGTCTCCGGTTTCTGGTATGCGCGCGCGTCGCCGTAGCCATGCGCGTCGGCAAAATGAAAAAGTTTTTTTTTCAATACAAGATGATGTCTCACATCCGCCAAACTCACTGGTTTGACTGGAATCCTGCTGCTGCACAATTTTAACGTGTTTTTAGATGGGGTTATGATCGAGAATAAGCTTTATGTGGCCTCTCAGGACTCCCAAATATTTGCACTAAGTTTAGTCGGGCACCATTTGCAGTCATCAGCCGACATTTGAAGCCAAAAAAAAAAAAAAAAAGGTAAAAAAAAAAAAAAGCCGCGTCGCCGCACCACTTTTGGGGCAAGCTCCATACCAGAAAGCGGAGACTTTTTTTTTTTTGCCTAAACGTCTGTGGATTTTTTTTGTTTGTTCTATGGCTAATTCAAAAGTGAATAACAATCGGAAAAAAACATATCTTTTTCGAAATATAACTTGCAAATAGCACCAGGAATGCATCTTTGCAAAAAAAAAAGCAAATATAAAACTTACACACAGATTCCTCTCCTCCTCCCCCCCCCCCCCCCCTCCAACCAAGAAAGACATTTACAATTTTTTTAGCTCATATTTTGAAACAAACTTACATCCTAGCTTATTAAGGCAGAGTTAAATATAGTCCTAACATGTCAATAGCGCCATAGACAAGGGAGGGGGAGTGGGTCACCCACCCACACTCCTCCCTTGTCTATGGCACTTGGAGAGGTCCTCTCCCACCATTTTCAGGTTTATTTACTGTCCTCTTAAACGCTTTGTTTTGGCATACATGTTTAATAAGGGAATAAATGTGTGCTTCGGAGGTTTTTATCACTCTGTTTAACTTAAGACCACTTAGAGTCTGGGTGCTGATAATTACCCGAGCCGGAGGCGAGGGTAATTATCAGCAACCAGACTCTAAGTGGTCTTAAACAGAGTGATAAATACCGACGGAGCACATATTTATTCCCATTCATAAATACCTTTTCGGTAAGAAAAAATGATATAATTCGTTCTAAACATCCCGATTTTGTTCAACAAATTCACTTTATGCTTTTTGAAACATCCCTCTTGCAAAATAATGGAGTGTTCAGCTGGCGAGTAAGATGTAAACAACCCTTTTATGGAGATTGATGCGCGCGTATCATGTTCTGCGCGATGTCGCGCAGATCGCACCTGGCGCGTTGCGTTTTGAATTTAGAACTTTAAAATTCTGACTCCTTGGTAGTGTTGCGCATGCCTACGTGAGGATTGTGAACGTTCAACCAATGAAACGATAAGAGGCACTGGATTTTTAGGAGTCCACATTTTATTGTGACACTGGAAAAGTGTTTAAGACCAGCTAGCCATGTCTTTATCATCTGTTTAAGACCGGCCACGTGATGGGCTCTCGACCAATAGGAATGCGTAAACTGTCTTAGGTATTTATGAATGTTATATAATGCTGAAATTGGCCTTATGATGCGTGAATTGTGATGGATTGGTGATATTGGTGGACTTAATTGTCTATGCTCTTTAAGGAAATGTAGGTCTTACATTTTTTAGCCCCCAGAAAAGCAAGAATGTGATGGAGACGGAAGTGAGACTCTCTGTCTGGGATCCCCAACAAGTAATTGCTTCTGTCTTAAAGGAACATATTACAAGCAGGAGTGTGATAGCAAGAATGGGTAAGTTTGGCGAGTTCCAGACGCCATGCTACTACAGGGCCAAACTAAATTAATTTGACCTTTTTTAAATTCAGCACGGCGACAGCACGGCAATTAGAACCATTTTGGTTCGGCAAATTGAATTCAGCACAGCAACGTGCCCCTTTAGGGCGACAGACCTGCCACCCTATTGTCGTTCTGAATGGCAGTGGCATGATACTGTTTTAAACGCCGTACCATTGCCGTGCTGAACTCAAATGACCTATCGCCGTTTGCGAGTTAGCCACTCCCCTTAGACAACCCAATGGAATTGTCAGTTTTGTTCGTCTCAGATTTTTTGCGTTCCGTGTCCATTTGTATATCATGTAATTGGACAGTATTTGGACAAGTTTTGTTAACGCGATTCTACCACGATAGGTCAATTCAATTGGAAGTTGGGCAAATGTTTTAGGAATACGCATACTAAAAATGAAATTGACGCGAATATTTTGATCAGGCTGAAAGTTCATTAATCTGCTTGAACTGTTTTAACCATGGACCAATTTCTTGGCGCTGCTAAGCAAAAAAAAATCGCTTAGCACAAAAAAGCCTGGCTTAAAAAAAGCAGTTTACCAGCCAAAACTCCACATGATTTTCATGCTATTGTTGTAATTCGTACCTTAAGTTAATAGGTCGGGGCCCGCGCCCGCTGGTCCTGGAGGGAACAGACAACGAATTGATGCTCACTCTGGTATTGCTGGACACGGACTGCCGTGCGGCAGGGCTGCAGAATGCTGCCCAGCCACCGGTCACGCCTGACTGGTTTATTATGCAACACTTATAAACATAGTCATTACGTGTATTCACTACACTATAGCAAACAACAACTGAATACTAATCACAAGCAATAGAGGTTCGCTCATAATTTTGACGCCTCATAAATCTGACAAAATTGCTTCCCGGCCCCCAACCAAATAAAGACCCATAAGTCCGACGCCTCATAAGTCCGACGCCTCATAAGTCCGACGCCTCATAAGTCCGACGCCTCATAAGTCCGACGCCTCATAAGTCCGACGCCTCATAAGTCCGACGCCTCATAAGTCCGACGCCTCATAAGTCCGACGCCTCATAAGTCCGACGCCTCATAAGTCCGACGCCTCATAAGTCCGACGCCTCATAAGTCCGACGCCTCATAAGTCCGACGCCTCATAAGTCCGACGCCTCATAAGTCCGACGCCTCATAAGTCCGACGCCTCATAAGTCCGACGCCTCATAAGTCCGACGCCTCATAAGTCCGACGCCTCATAAGTCCGACGCCTCATAAGTCCGACGCCTCATAAGTCCGACGCCTCATAAGTCCGACGCCTCATAAGTCCGACGCCTCATAAGTCCGACGCCTCATAAGTCCGACGCCTCATAAGTCCGACGCCTCATAAGTCCGACGCCTCATAAGTCCGACGCCTCATAAGTCCGACGCCTCATAAGTCCGACGCCTCATAAGTCCGACGCCTCATAAGTCCGACGCCTCATAAGTCCGACGCCTCATAAGTCCGACGCCTCATAAGTCCGATTCCTCATAAGTCCGACAGCCATTACTACAATACAAACATTGTGTAACGTGTCAGAACGTTAGCACCTCTAATTGCGATTACACATTGACATTAAGGTATGTACCCAACATCCCCCCACCTGATTATGCCCGTAGCATCAACCCTTGCGCCAAAACCTGTGCGCTGGCAGACAGATCTACAGCCATGTTAGTTTATGCTATGCACAGTGCGCCATTCGTATGATGACAACCTCGCATACTTAAAGCTAGAGTCCATCATTTGCAGCTATCCAAAAAGTGACTGACGTAATTATTGTTGAGAAATATACTTAGTTGAAAGTTAGTAAGGGGACTAAACTCCCTGTGAAATTATTCTTTGTGACATGCTGTCATTTTGAAGAAATCAGCAAAAGAAAACCTTTCCAACGGTGGGTCTTAAGACGCACCTTTGGAAAATTGCGTATAGTTTCGGTTTTTGTTTTATTCGGCGAAGCGCGCGCAAGTGTAGGTGTTATATAAAACAAATAATGAATGTTACACGTTCATGCAATGGAAAGAATAATTTTATTCGGTGACAGATGAAATGTTCCATTCCATCTGTCACCTCATGGAATCATTCTTACCATTGCACTCACAAACATTCATTATTTGTATAATATAGACATGAAAAAATCCTTGTCATCTGATTGGTTGACTTTTAATAGCCAGTTTATTCAGGTTAAAAACTGTTTAAAGTTCGACAAGTTCATCATATTCAATTTATCTCGATTTAAAACAGCGCCAGCACCAGCAGCAGTGACAACGTGCAATGGAAGTTCTATTAAGCGTGCAACAGAAGTTCCATTGCACTGTGCGCTGCGTGCCACACGCGCGCCATGCCTTGGGACGAATAATTCAATGACATGTGATCAACGATCCACCAATCAGATGACGGGGATTTATTTAGGTGTTGTATAATAGTTATTATTAGTATATTAATCATAATTTTTTGGCCAGGACCAACAATATTAGTTATCTTGCGAGCGCAAGTGGGACACGGAATAATGTAGTGCGTCTGTGTCCCACATGCCACGAGGCCGAAGACCGAGTGGTATGTGGGACACAGACGCACTACATTTTGAGTTGAGTTTGCCCAGCTCTATGAGGAGTTGGCTCTGACGAAAACGTCCCAAAAATTCAAAACTTCTTCACTTAAATCAAAGTCACGCGCAGGTGCCGTAACATCTCCACCCCCCCCCCCCCTACACAGACACATCCTCCAGGACGATCTTTCTACCGTGAGTGATCATCAAAACGAAATGTCGACAACTTACTCACACAGCAAGCATACCAACTGCAGGAATGCAAACCAACGTCCGCTTAACTTTGCGGCATGGAATGTGCGAACACTCCGTGATGCCCCTAATAGACCTATATGAAGAACTACACTCGTTGGCAGAGAGCTCGCCAAATACAACATTGACATAGCAGCACTTAGTGAAACTCGTTTTGCTGAGAAAGGTCAACTCAAGGAACTTGGTGCTGGTTACACCTTTTTCTGAGGTGGTCGTCCCAGCAATGAACGTCATGAAGCTGGTGTTGGATTTGCCGTGAAGAATCACATCGTAGATAATCTTGAAAATCTACCAGTGGGTATCAACGACCGCTTAATGACTTTGCGTCTGTCACTCACAGCGAAACAACATGCCACCATAGTCAGCGTGTATGCACCTACCATGACAAACCCGGATGATATCAAAGACAAGTTTTATGATGATCTGGAACAAGTAATCTCCCAGGTTCCCACGAAGGACAAACTCATAATTCTCGGCGACTTCCATGCTCGTGTTGGCTCTGACCATCATACATGGCAGGGCATAATAGGGAACCACGGTATTGGAACATATGCAATTCAAACATGTCAAGTGGTCTCCTTCTCCTCACAAAATGTGCAGAACACAACCTCACCATCAGCAACACTTTGTTTTGACTTCCAAATAAAAACAAAGCGTCATGGATGCATCCCCGTTCAAAACATTGGCACCTGATTGATTATATTATAATCAGGAAGAGGGACATTGCAGATGTGAAAATCACCAAGGCTATGAGAGGAGCTGACTGCTCCACTGACCATCGACTCATCTGTGCGAAGTTCAACTTCAACATCAAACCACTCAGGAGACCTCAGGGCAATTTCAATTCAATTCAACATGGTTTATTAACAAATCACGAATGGCAGCCACAGCTGAATTGCACGTGATTTACATTAAAAAAAAAATACATTTTAAAAAAAGTTAAAGGTCTACCGAGTTAAAAAAAAAAAAAAAGTATGACATTAAATACTAATATAAGAAAAGGTTTAAACATTGTGCATACAGATCTGACTAAAGAAAATTGTCTATATAGAGAAATACATATTATTGTTACAGACTGTGTTGCAATCAATTTATCTTACTTTAAAAAGGGGGCATTGAAATTGCGTTAAAACTTATAAAAGACATTCAAAAAGGTTGCAGGCAAAAAAAATATATATAGTTTCATTTAGGATTAGAATTATAAAAATGGGCCAGATGAGGAATAAGTTTAAAAATTGTGCAAAATGTGTGGCAGTCAAATTATCTTATTTAAATGAAAGGTAGTATTAAAATAGCGTTAAAACTTGTAAAATACAATAAAAGCTTGCTGGTAAAAATCTATTCATATCATTTGGGATTAGAGTTATACAGTTGTACCAGATGAGGAATGGCACTATTCTGCATTCTATTTGTTTTACACTTAAGTTGTGGGATTTTATTCGAATTTCTTAGTGTACGTTTCATTTTTGGAGGAGAAGGGATAAAATCCTTAAATTGTTCATTTTGTTTCAATGTCCTTTCGATGAATGATGTACATAGAGATTCCCTTCTTTGTTTCAAGGGGGAAATCCCGAGCTCACATAGCATCTCGGAATAACTGTTATAACCACCGCGTCCGGTGATTATCCGTAGAGCTCTTTTTTGGATGCTTTCAATGTGGTCAGACTGGGCAGTGGTTAATCCCCCATCCCATACTGGTGCTCCATATTCAAGAAGCGGTCTGATGTAGCTGTTGTAAATAATAAGTAGATCCTGGACAGGCAAACAGTGGCCTTTAAGAAGACGGAGCATGTAAAGTTTTCTACCTGCACGTTTAATGAGGTCAGTAATATGTGCGTCCCATTTCAAATTGCTCTGAATAAGTATGCCAAGTAGTTTAATTGATTGCACTGTTTGTAATTAATGATCATGCAGCATGAGCGAAGGTGGTGCTGGGGGGGTTCGCTGGAATGTTATTTCCATTGTTGTACATTTCTTTGGGTTTAGTTTCATGTTGTTATCCTTCGACCACTGTACCAAAGAGGAGACAGCTGACTGCATGCGCGACAATTGGTTTTGAGTTCGGCATTCGACAAGAGTCATGTCGTCGACATATTTGTAGGCGTTTATACCATTCGGTGGGGACATATCGTTGATCATTGCCAGAAAGATGATTGGCCCTAGACGTGTGCCCTGCGGTACACCAGAGTGAAGAGTGGACCAATCAGACTCGGAGGTTTTGTACCGTACTCTTTGTTGACGTGATGTGAGGAAGTCTGCGACCCATGGGATGAGCGAGGGACGAACACCGAGGTCCAACAACTTAGCAATTGCTATAGTGTGGTCAATACGGTCGAATGCTTTTGTAAAGTCTGTCACAACAATTGTAGACGAAGCTTTTGGAATTTCAGCATTAGCGTAGACTTGGTGTAAAATGTTAATTAAGCAGTGGGTAGTTGACAGGAATTTTCGATTCCCAAATTGGTTTGGGTCCAGTTTGGGCTGGATATCACTAAAGATCCATTTGGCTATGAAACCTTCAGTCACCTTCGCGAAATGGTCTGTGAGAGAGATTGGACGGAGTTTATCCAGTGTAGGGGGATTTGTTTTGGGTACCGGGATAACGATAGCTCGTTTCCATTGATCGGGCACGATGCATTGTTCGAAAGATGAATTAATAATATGTGTTACGGGTGTCGCAAGTTCATAAGAGAATGTTCTCACAATCCTCGCGGAAATGTCATCTGGACCTCCAGCTGTCGTGCGTTTGATTTTCCCCAGTGCCTTCTGTACATCCCAAGGATAAACCTCAGGACATGGTGTTGAAGAGGGGAGGTAGGCCGGGAGTTTTGCAAGGTTTAGTGGTTCTAAATCACCCGCAATAGATACGAAGTGTTCATTGATTGCGTTAGCGATCGATTTAGTGTCATCATGATTTACTCCTGGGATAGTGATGGGCGAGTGGTCTTTATTGGTGCCAGAGAGCACGCGGATTTCACGATACCAGGATGACGGATTGTTTTTCTTGAGCCTCTGAATCCGCTTTGAGTAATATTCCGATCTTGCCTTTTTGATAGTTACGATGACTGCATTTCGGAGCCGTGTCCATTCATTCAAGAAGCCACCAAAGAAGCTCAACGTTACCAAATTAAAGACCGCCGCTGTAAAATGTGAACTGTGCAGCGCAATGTACCAGCAATTCATCTCTGCTAACTTGGTCTCAGGCGACATTGAAAAGGACTGGAAATGCTTCAAAGATGCAGTCCACACAGCAGCTTTCGAAACTTTGGGCCCTGTTGTTCGGAAACACCAAGATTGGTTTGATGAAAATGACGAGGAGATCAAGAAACTTCTTGAAGAGAAACACCGCTTACACCTATCCATGATCAATGATGAAAAATCCGCATCGAAGAAAGCAGCCTTCCAGAGCATCCGTAAGACACTGCAGGTCAGACTTAGAGCTATGTGCGACTCATGGTGGAGCAAAAAAGCGGACAAGCTCCAGTCCTACTCAGACTGTAAAGACATGAAGAAGTTCTATGATACGCTCAAGAAAACTTATGGGCCAAAATCATGTGGCTCTACCCCTGTCATGAGCTCTGATGGAACCACACTAATCACAGAAAAGAACCATATCATGGACCGTTGGGCTTCTCACTTCAAAAATCTGTTAATCAGGGACTCAAACATCAGCACTGAGGCATTAGATCAACTGCCTCAGAGCACTGTCAATGTGGCCCTAGCTGAAGAGCCCACTACCTCCGAGACTGAAGAAGCCATTGATGTACTATCCATGGGTAAAGCAGCTGGTTCCGACTCAATTCCTGCTGAGATATACAAAGCAGGAGATGCTTTGTTCGTGCAATGCCTCACAGAGCTATTGCAACTGATGTGGATCAAAGGAGTGCTTCCCCAAGAGTTCAAAGATGCCTCCATTGTCGAAATTTATAAGAAGAAAGGCAACCGTTTCATTTGTGACAACCACAGAGGAATCTCCCTGCTGGTCATTGCTGGTAAGATCCTCGCCAGAATCATGCTTAATCGCTTCACAACACACATTGCCAACAGATTTCTACCCGACAGCCAGTGTGGTTTCAGAAAAGGAAGAGGTACAGGCGACATGATCTTTGCAGCCCGGCAGCTACAAGAGAGCAGAATACCGACCTCTACTGTGTCTTCGTTGACTTGACAAAGGCATTCGACACCGTCTGTAGAAAAGGACTCTGGAAACTCCTGTCCAAAATTGGCTGCCCTGAAAAGTATATCGAGATGGTTAAGCAGTTTCATGATGGTATGATGGCGCAAGTAACGGACGATGGGGAGTCTTCAAAACCCTTCCCAGTATCAAATGGAGTTAAACAAGGCTGTGTCCTTGCACCAACGTTCTTCAATGTCGTGTTTGCTAGCATGCTCCTTGATGCTTTCCGTGACATCAACATCGGCGTGAAGATGAGATTCAGGACTGATGGTAAACTCTTCAATCTGAGAAGACTTCAAGCAAAAACAAAGGTATTCGATGAATTAGTTCGTGAACTCCTATATGCCAATGACTGTGCTCTTGTCGCCCACACCCAGGAAGACTTACAACTCATCATGGACTGCTTCGCAACAGCTTTCTCACGCTTTGGACTTTCAATCAATCTGAAAAAGACAGAAGTGATGTTTCAACCTGCTCCAAGTAAGCCATATGTTCCACCCGTTATCACCATTGGAGATCATATTCTTCATTCTGTTGACAAGTTTACATAGTTGGGCAGCACCCTGTCAAGAGAGGTCCACATAAACTAGGAAATCACAAATCAGATATCCAAAGCCAGCTCAGCTTTCGGAAGATTTCGTGAGCGTCTGTGGAATAGGAGAGGCATAAGCTTGAAAACAAAGCTGCGTGTGTATCAAGCTGCAGTCCTGACTTCCCTGCTGTATGCCTGTGAAACTTGGACAACCTACAGCCGCCACATCAGAAAGCTGAACCACTTCCACCTTTCCTGCATGCGTAAGATCTTGCGCATCAGATGGCAAGACAAGGTCCCAGACACTGAAGTCCTCAAGCGAGCGGAATTGCCAAGTGTAGGTGCTTTGATCATGAGAGCTCAACTTCGCTGGTCAGGTCATGTAGTACGCATGCCTGATGATCGACTCCCCAAAAAGATCTTCTGCGGTGAACTAACAACAGGCAAAAGATCGGCTGGTGGTCAATTCAAGAGATACAAGGATTGCCTTAAAGCAACCATGAAGCAATGCAACTTCAATGTGAGTAGCTGGGAAGAACATGACCATGATCGAACGGCATGGAGAAGATTATCACACGAAGGTGCATCAAGCTTCGAAGCCCGTCGCATCAGGGAGGCTGAGCTGAAATGACAGCAACGAAAATCTCGTCAGCTAGATGCTTCCCTACGTGTCCACCCCCACCCCCAACCTAGTGTGTCCAGTGTAGGACCGTAGCTTCCTGGCTAGAATTGGACTTATTAGCCATCTGCGAACACACAACACCAACTAGTATGGAGATGTTGGCTGTCATCTTGGAATTCCGTGTTCCACGAGCGCGAGCATGATAACGAATTTATCTTCAAGCAAACTTGACGCACAGTAAAGCTGGAACAGGCATGCTGTGTGACCTACGCGCAACTTTTAATTGTGCAGCACTAATCGCGTCACGGCTTAGAATAGAGCAATACGCGGAGTGCGGTATGGACCGTGGCCGTGCGGTATGGTTATATGTAGCACGGCTTGTTGCCATGGATTGACCAATCAGGATCGAGGAATCAAGTGTGCTTGAAGATAATATGAGTTGTTCAACACTTCCTACCATTTTTTCATGAAAATGCCCTTGACAATATTCTCTCTTCAGTTGCAGTACGTCTTGCCCAAGCTGCCCAAGTGACACATTCGCGCCCTACGTGAATAGATGCACGGAGTGTCGTAATGTTACTGTGTGCAAAGATAACGAACAGGTAATTTTGTGCTTACATTCTTTTTTACCAAAACAGGGCCAAATTTGGTGGCTCTGCTTACCACAGTAATCTCATTTTAATATAAAGGCCATTATTCATGAACAAAATGAGGGCGCTGTAACAATGCCATTTGTTTCAATTCAAAAATTACATTTCTACACTGCAAAAACTGTGATTAGCAATTAAACACTTTTCTAAACACTTTCTTGCTATCAGTTTGTAAACATGTGTTGAGTGAGGATGGATAGTGTTTAACAATTGAACATTGATGTTTACATGTAGGAATTGAACACAATGTTTAGCTTCTAAACATACAAAGTGATAGCAAAATTGTATTTAATTGCAAAACACAGTTTTTAGAGTGTGTAATCTTTACACTTTGTATTCAAACAGAGTTACTAAGGCAACCTCGTTTCCATGGGTAGGATCTTTCTGCGCCACTTTCTTCCATAATGCCTTGCACAATCAAAACCTCTGGAATGGGAGACTTTTTAGACGTTAGTGGCCGTTGTCACATGAAAATCCGACTCCTATGAAAATTGGACCCCTTTTCTCCATTATTTGTTAATCCCTCGCTCGTGATAGGTCGTTCTCTCATAATATAGCCTATTATCGTACTTACACATACGCAATACTACCAATGCAGAGTCCAAATTTCACTGAGTCGGATATTCGCGCTACACCGGCAGCAAACATACCGGTCGTTTTTCATTGTTTGCATCATATTGGCTTAAACATGACGTACAAAATCAATGTACCCAAAATTATTTTTAAAAACTTAGGCTTTTACACCTTTTTTCTTATTCGGGGGTCCAAGAGCGTGCCACCAGGCTCAACCTTCAGGCTCTATAGCCGGTCAGCGGGTTAGTGGAACCAGGAGTTAGGGGAGGAATGTGCACGTGCCCATGGAGTCGAAGCTATTACTAAATTTCTTTAATAAACATAATATTTCTAGTGTTTGTCATGATGTTTGTATCCAGAAAATGACCCTTGTACTAACTTCCTCACTCGCTGATGAATATGCCCTATTCACAGAACTGAACTAAATGAAAATTGAAACTGTCCACCTTTAAAACATTTCCAAATTTCTGGACAAAAAAACTCCCATAATTAACAGTTGTTGACTGATGTGATGTGGGATATGACGTTTTGAACACCCGAGGGACGCATAGCGCCCGAGGCGAAGCCGAGGGTGCTATGCGTCCCCGAGGGTGTTCAAAACGTCATATCCCACATCACATCAGTCAACAACTGTTTTGTCATACCTCTGTCTTGATGATGTGTTTTACTTGTTTTTCTAAGGGAAATTAAGGGTGGCAAACTGAAGGAATCTTTGAAAAATTTTCTTTCAACATATATAGATGTAGGGGCATTAAAACAAGCTTAAGTTCAGGGAAATTTGGGGTAAAGGTTTTACAAGTTTAATAATAAAAAATCTTATCCCCTGGCATATTTTATAGTGGTAGGGACAATGAATAAAAACCTGGTTTGTAGTCGAAACGAGTGTCCCTGCCCGTTTCTTGGCAGAATTCTCGTACAACGCGGACTGCGTAGTCGGTACAACGTTTTGTGTTCAATGAGTCTTGTTCAAAAGCTAAATCTTTTATTTGTTGTTTGGAGCGGCTCAAAAACCTTTTTTGGGGCAGAGAATCTGTGCCTCCGGGCTCAGCTGACATGTTGAGGCTGATGAGGATCGTATACGAAAAAACTAACTGTGTCAGCTCTGCATTTCCGAAGTTCTGAAGGCCTAGGCACCTTTACTAGAGTCAGTCAAAACGTAAACATACTCTTAATGCCGCTCGTCGCTGGCCGCCAAATTAAAGTAAATATCGTCTGCAAATGCACTGCTCCCTCACTGCTATACATTATACATTGTATTGTGGAACGTGAAAGTACTGCGGGGTACCAGTGAGTACAAGTATAGTCTGGTTTAAACTCGGTCCGCGCATAATGGTTTGGACTGTGGGGCGGGGACTAGTCTACATGCATGTGATATCACAATGTGATATACAACAGGAGTGTGCCATGCATATTTATCGCCCGGTCAGGTGATCGTCCTGGGCCAATGAAAATACAGTATAAAGACAGAGGTATGACAACAATTCTTGGTTCCCACAGATTATAAACATGCATCATGCACTGCGTTGATATATGATTTCTGTTTTGTTTTTGTCAAAGGTCGTAGAAAAGGCGACAAAAAAAGAAGACAAGGTTTGTGGCTGCCGGGATTGGCCTATCCCACGTGAAGGTGAGGCATCCAACATTTCGGACTTCAGCTACCAGCAGTTGAATATCTAGAAAAGATTGTTCTTTTGGTTTATTGCAGCCGTATTGTATGTAAACCAATGGGTGTCTGTCATTGTAACTAGAATGAATAGCTCAGAAAGTACAATTGTTGCCAATTATTGTATTATTATTGTATACGTGTTTGCCCATTTTGCAGCCAACAGAATAGTCTGAGTATCACCCGTTATCCACGGAGCCGAGTCTCCTGTATAACGTCTGATATAGCAAAGCATGCAGATTGATGCGATCTCGCGCCTCAGCCAATTGGAGTCGATTTTACTAAACCGTGACGTCATTTCATACCCAATCAAAAATAAAACTGTGATTGGTCAATTCAAATGCAGTGTTTTGTAATACAACAACAGCCGCGCGCTTGATGCGTAATATAATACAGCGCACGTGACCATAGCCTTTGTCGCCGTGTCTAGGTTTTTTTTTTTTAATCCATGTCTATAGATGCGACAACGGGTGAATGACCAAAGACCCGACATAGAAAGCGCCTGCTGATTGGTCAACATTTTTACAGGTCAAGATGCATTTGTCTTGCATAATTAATCAGCGAATCTGCTCAAATGTTATATATTGGGTAGTCTTCGGTACATTATATAGACCATGGGAAAAAAAAACATATGCACCTCTTAGCTGAGCTTTATTTTGTTTTGCAGTTTGTGAAAGGTACAACTGCACCGACTTGAGTGGTCCAGCCCATCCAGTGCTGAATACAAGAGGTGAAATTTGGAAAGGCATTTCGTTTAGTTAACTTTGGTCGCACGTCCGTGTATGAACGGCAGATGGTGACCACTCGTAATAGGGACACATTGCTGGCGCGAAGTGATGATGCCGTATGCTATGGCGATCTCGTTGTATTGTCCGTAAGCCAGTGTCCCGCCAGGCCCTCGGCCAAGTGAAGGGCTGCGATGCAGGCGAGAGAGTGGGCAGTATGGCGCTATAAAGGACGCACAATAAATTTATTAATTTTATTCTGAAAAAGCACAAACCTGATTTTTGTGAGTGCCAGCGGGGCTTTGCGTTAGACACCAATGGGTCGCTTGGTAATTCGATCAGCCCCACCGGGTCACAGAGGCAAGGGGCACCACCAAGGGATCAAGAAGTATTTTTCTCCCGAGAACACCGGTCTCATTCTCCGCATCGCATGTTCCAGTGACCGCAGTAGCCTCTTCACTGCGTAGGAATCGCGGCGGCTAACACGCACCCACTCAAAGTCCTGCTCGGACTTTGTTGATCGACATCGGGACCGACATGGACTGCCAATGATTACTCATGCGTTGAATCCGGACTTTGGAATCAACACAGCCGTTTTAGAACTCATTCGGTAGTCACTCTGTTATCTAAACGGTTGATTGATGATAACTGCCTCTCATACCAGACGTTGGCAAGCTTCATCAGTTCCCCCCTCCTTCCCGGGTTGAACCCTCTCCGTCTTCTTACCACCCCGCTGCGCTCATGAATGTTAGAATTCAAATTAGTGTTGAAGACGGAAATGTTTTCGTAAGCTCCAGCAATGCTACGGTATTTTGAACTAGATTGATAAATATGTATTATGAGGGATGAGTTCACTTCCTTTCCAGATTTAATTTGAAAATAAAATTTAACATTTCACTTTTTCCCTCATATTATTTACAGAAGAGCCAACTCCTGGAATGCAAGAACGACCTGATAATTTTTATTCTGGTGAGTTGCTATAAGTGCATGGAAGGGACAGTAAGCCTAGCAGCTGATATTGCAAAAGTTTGCGCAGTGGTGTACGAGTATTCGAGTACCTTTTTATTGTGTATAAAGTCACGCCACATTCCTTTTTTTGTTGCATCATCTCAGCTTTACTCACCTGCTCACAGTGTGTAATTATGTGACTGACACAACAAATTATGACAGTCATTTTAGGTGGTGCAAGTTATGACATGCACACCAAAAATGGACTATTCTCTTGACTAATCATGATTCTTGTAATGCATTTCTTAGCCAAACTAATCAACTAAGGTTATTGTACAAAATATTCACAGCTTTATTTTTCAGGTAAATTTAAGGAGTGAAATGCTATTTTAGCAGTTACTGAATTGAGTTGAAGCCCAAAGAAAGTCGTACAAAACTGTTTTCAAAGTAGCAGGTGTAGGTGAATTGACAAATGTTTTGTGACTGATATGAAATTGCACACAAACAGCCATCGTAAAAACTTTGGTAATCCTCATCCAAGATGTAGAAATTAATTAAAATCTACAAGTGTAGCTACATATGCCAAGTTTTGTTGCGTAACGAATTTGTTGTGTAATTGAAGGGCCCATGCAATGTGATTTTGTTTGAATGCAATCCTTGGAAATGCACATTTGTGTTAATTTTATGTAACATTTTATGATTTTTCAGGGGCTATTGTAATGAAATCTGTTGTCACAAGAGCTGCATGCACACATTGTCCTCTTTCCCTATTTGACTGCAGGTGGGCTTTTGGCTGCAATGTATTTTGCTGGTTTTTTAACATGCGCACTGTTTACATGTATCTACCTAAACCGGGAGAAGTGCTGTCAAAGTAAGTATAATTCACTCTACTATCATGTTTTCATAATGTGGTTTGATGAGGCCTTGCATAGTAGACAGCACAACCAGTGGAGATGTAGCCTTGACCAAGGCTATCAGCTTGTTCCCGCTACTGCGCGCCGCGACACAATCACTAGTTGTACTATACCGTTAGCCTCAACGACCCTTGCGTGTGCTTTGTGTGTGCTTTGTGTGCATAAAAATTGCAAGATAGCCTTGACGCAACCGTGGCGAATTCCTTATGTGTTTCTTTATAGTTTTGACCGAAATCGGCCGAAAATTTCTGATGCGCATATATTACACGATATCCAATCAAAGCCCGTAAACTTTGACCCGCGACATACATATTCATGACCCGCAAATTACTGTATACACCACGTACATGTATGTTCACTCAAACCACGGTATGTCCAGGTATTTCAATCCCATTTTAAACCATTTCTCCAGTTTTATTACAAACAAATGAAACATGCCGCTATATGAGTGAACAATTGTTCAAAATGATACTATTTCCAATGTATTGCGAATTGGACAGTTCAATACAGTCCGCCGACGTTTTGTCGGTGCAACAGCGTACAATATCACGCCGCTACCTGCCCGTGCTATTCTGACAGCGAATGTAGGGAACAGGTCAACTCGGACCCAGGTCAAATCATACCCATTTAATCGAATGCAGGTTAACTCGTATCTACAAGCACCCGTATGAATTAACTGCAAGAAACGAGCTATTGACTTTGGGATGGAAATATACGAAACTGTCAGTCAGGTACATGGTGAAAAAAACCTCTCCCTGAATTCGTACCATGTGCCAATTACATCTCATACGTACGACACATGTATTTTTACGCGTACGTATGAATCGTATATGTCGTACCTACGACATACGTACGACATGTAAGTCGTAGATGTAAATCGCACGAGATACAAGTCGTTCTCACAAGATATGTTGTATGTACGACATAATCGACAAACAAGTCAAACATACGAGTTACAATTCATATTTTGTACACACGTGATATTAAGTCGTACTTATATACGACTTTGTCGTATGCGACATATATCGTACCCTGTCGACTCGACTTACGCACGACATATATGTCGTACCGGCACCTGTCGACATTATGTCATATGTTTGATATGTCATACTGTGTCGACATATATGTCGTACCCTGTCGATGATATTAGTCGTACCCTGTCGAAATATGTCGTACCCTGTCGATATATTAGTCGTACATACGACATATAGCTTATAAAATGTTCATACAAGTTAAAATCAGTCTTACAGAATAAGTTTGCTGAAGGAGAGATATTTTTTTCCCATATCCCCTCGACAGCTTAGAAGAAATACCCCCCCCCCCCCCAAAAAAGTCAGCGGTAGATATACTCAATAGTGTGAGCGCTTTTTTTGCCGCTGAACGTGAAAGCGCAGCGTGTCTTACTGCATGGCGCCAGCCGGACCGGTGCCTACAAGTGGACGGCCCCAACGTGGCCTCTGTGCATGGTGACATCGTTTTTGCCGGCGTGCGGTTTTGTACCGTTTGCCGTTTTTTGAAGGTCAAATTTTTCATCCTTTTTCATTTCATTTCCGACCCAAACTATGTGTAACTTTATAAATATTATTCTACTATTATTTAAGATGTTAAGGGGGTGTTTTACAATAATTATTGTTACCACAGGCCATCTGGTTTATAAACCTTTGGTCGTATTATGCAATGCAATAAATATTCATTTTTTTGTCAGCCGTTATCCAATGAGAGAAGACTATTTACCATAGCGCGTACTAATTATCATATTCAGCATACACGGTTGCGTCAAGGCTATCTTCCGCCTGGACTTACTGTACGGCTGTTTGCGGAAGTGTGTGTGGGGCGTAAGTTCAACATGTACATGCACACAAAGCACACGCAAGGGTCGTTGGGGCTAACGGTATAGTACAACATTGTTTCGCTGCGCGCGCGGTGTGCGGTAGCGGGAACAAGCTCATATGGGAACAAGCTCATAGCCTTGGTCAAGGCTAGTGGAGATGAGACTGTTACAACTCAAATGAAAAGAAAGATGACAGTTAAGTCAGAAAATGATTCGACATAGTCTGAAACATCAAGCTGTCACCCTCGTTCAACAGCGGTTTTTTTTGCCCTGCCGACGAAGCTAAAGGGGCATACTGTTTCTGCCTTGTCCGTCCGTGTGTGCGTGTGTGCGCAATTGTATTGTGTTACGCTCGAGGACAGACAACAAAAGGAGCACAAAGAGGCCTTTGATCCTCGGACGAGGATCCTATTGTTAAAATCGGTCCTCGATCGTATGGTTATGTGCTTAGTCTATGGAAAAGTGTTATATTAGAGGGACAAAGGGAAACAATAGGTTGTCCTTAGGCATGATAGTAAAACACACGCGAGTAAATAGAATAAATTAATTTGTGTTTTTTGGCCCTGGACCTCTGGTGGTGTATCCGGCATCTGAAAATCTCCAAGAAGGCGCAAGAATCTCACAATGTTATACAAAATGGGAAGTAAAAGTAGAGAACGATGTAAATAAACGAGGGATTAATTAGGTTATTCAGAAGTCGGGAACATTTTGGAAGTGTAATTTAATTTCGTGGTTTTCAGGGGCAATATTATGGTCATTAAATGTCAGACATATATAATGCAATCCAAGTAAATTGTTCTCATCCAAAAAAAGATAATACATTTGTAATTGTAACACAAATCTCTAGAATCATCCTTTGAGACATTTCACAATTGTTTTCAAATAATTCAACGGTAATTTAAAGTAGGTTTTACATTCTACGTTTTCCTTTTCATAAACAATGTCTTTTACACATTTTATCAGATAAGCTGACATTATTGGGAAATTTTTAGCAACGCGCACCACCATTTTGAAACGTAAGATAAATACGAGGGGAAAATGAAGCAAACTTCGAGGTGACTATCCAGCTTGAAAATGCAGGTTGAATTTTGCCGGATACATAATAACTACTGGTAAAAAAATGTGACATTTTACCCATCATTGTTATGTGTAATATTTCCTTGTTAAACTACAGGTCTAAACTCATTGAGAAAGTGGTGTTGTGAGTCAGGTAAGTAAATGTTTTGAAATTTCAAGTCTCGTTCAGAGTCTGACAAGTATATACTGAAATATTTGGTGATGTAGTTTGAATTATGCCTGAGAAACAACATGGTGCGGTCCGAGTACTTGGGTTTTGTACATGTGTAGGATGTGTCTGGACAAAAAAAGTTATGCTGAAAATAGTAATTGTAAAGGTGACTCAGATTTGAGTCCGAGTCCATGTTCTTTGGGGAAAAATAACACATTTCATACTCCTACTCATTTGAAGTACTCGGTTAACACAGCCTTACTGTTTATCCTTGATTCCTTCTATGTAAAGTATTTTCAGAATACTCAGATGATATTTCTATTCAAAATTTGCAATTAAAGGGACAATATAGACTTTTGTGGCGTGACCGGAAAAACGTAAAAGATAAGAGACTTGGCTGACAAGCTTTTCTTTTTCCAACCTGGTTGTTACCCTCTTTTCTACTTCGGAAGCCTTTTGGATCTTGTACCCTGAGAGTATTTTATAAAATGTATACTGTTGAAGGAGATGGTGCCATACTATTTATGCTTTCCTAGCCTCACTTTTGGGCGAGTTTAATCACAAATTATAAATATTCATCAGAGCAGGCTGATATTAATTTGCAATTTACTTTATTTCATTGCTTTCAGTTCTATTCGCAAGTTCCAAAAATGAAAATGTTATCTCGCTTTTTGATTTAATATGGCCAGCTCGTGAATAAAGCCCATCGTAAGTCATCAAGTCACAAAGCTATTCAAATGAACTCTGACAAAGGCATTCCTTTGTCTTTGTTCTTCCCATGTTACTTGTGACCTGACTTATGATTAAATTTGTGATTGTCTTTGAGATGGGTTTGACAAGAACTATTTTTTTTTAATGGAGGACATTCAGTTCAATTGGTTAAACTGTAAATTATTTCAGTAAGCACCCATTTTGTTCTCATTTCAAATTATATTTACACATTTGAGAAACAATAGGAAGCAGATATATTTTGTCACATAAACAAATCCAATCTGGCGTTGAGCCATGATATGTCAACATCGTGTTTTCTTTTCATAGGCAGTAGAAGCTCTGCAGGAATTTAAACTTCAAGCAATCCTGAGTCTGGAGGTGAGTGTGTCTGGAGGTACAAGCAATGTCCAAATAATGTTCAACTGCAGCTAGAGGAAAGTGAATGTTCGGGTCTGCAGTAAATTTCAAGTTCCTTTTTTTTCCTTCCGGCTTTTTTTCCTCAGGCTTTTTGTTTGTAGACGTAATTTTAGGGTCCTCGGAAGTTGTCTTAAATTTAAGTGTAGGTCATTTGTTTCAGGAACACATCTATTATTAGGCCCATGTGATAAATAAGTGTAAGTCCTTTTTAGAAGTTGTAAGCTCTTTCTTTACGTACTTCTGAGAGAAGTATTGAACAAAAATAAATTTATAAGATACGGTAGGCCCTATATAATACGTGTACGTGGCTGCGCGATGCCGAAAATGAATTTTGCATTCCTAAAAAGTATGCGTATCCGTGTGATGTCGTACGGATATGGTATAGGGATACATTGTATGTGCATTTCCCCCATTTGCCGAACCTCTCTAATTCCTTCCTGACTCTCTCCCCTTTTCCCTGATTTACTAAAAATGAAAATAGTTTCAGTAATGGCCCATTTGTTATCTCATTCTTATTTGAACATATTTTCCCCATGTTTTTGGTTCCTGCGATAATTGAAGTACATGTACCCCTGTGTTGCACATTTATTTTTAACAGTTCAAGCAGTAATTTTTGATATAGGTTTTTCCCGCCCAACTACGTTACACTTATAGCATCTGAATTAACGATAGCTAGGTTCATTCAATGTATGACGATATATCTAGATCATCATTCAAAGAGCAAACATGATCATTCAATTCAACTTCATGACCATGCGATTTTATGCGATTGCACACGTGATGGTACACTCAATACAGTTATATTTGGAAAAACGTGCAAATGATCATTTAACTTTGCGCGGACACTCTGTGGTAAGCATTTTGGGCACTTCGTGAATAGGCACACATTTGTGACATTCGTGCAATGTTTTTCATTTAATGTTAATCTTCTAACTCATACTTTGTTTCTGTTTAAATAATTATGAAAAAGAATTACACCTAGGTTAAATGAAATAATACAGCCCAAAGTAAGCATATATAAAACAGAAAGGAGTAAAAAAATGAAAAATGGGGGATGCTTAAAAAAAAAATAAGAAAAATAATGAATGAAAAATGGAGAGAAAAAGAGTTTCTTTCAAGATTTGTTAAATAAAGAAAATAAAACATTTCAAAAAATTATGTCATTGGTTGAACTCCAAGGCAATCATCATTTAAGAGTTAATTTCAAACAATACCATAAGTTTTCATGTGATTATCTCTCTTTTTTGAAGTTTTTTTTCTTTCAAAAACCAATTTTAGAGGTTTTATTCACAAGTTGGTCCTGGCATTAAACAACAAGGACAATATTCCTGTGAAAACACAACCTGCAAATGTAGAACACAATTATTGTCTATTTTCTTGATTGCATGTTTTTAACTTCTTTAAAAACCTCCCCCCCCCCCAAAAAAAATGTTTTTCAACCAATTTTTCGTATACTTTTGAAAGTGTCACAACCAAGATATCTGTTTTATTACATTTTAATTCCAATTACAGTTTTGGTGTGGTTTCTTCTGTACTGCAGTTGAATGGATTTACTAGTTTATTTACTTTTTTGTCTGTTTTAGATGCAAGTGCTAATAATGAGGCAGAATTGGCCAATCTGAACCAACAAAGTTAGTGCTTTGGTTTAAAACTTCTGGGGAATATAGAATTCAGAGTTGGGGGCTGGACCGCTGGGTACCATCTGCCTATTGCAAGACGCTGTTTAGGCAAACGAACATGCGTTCTTTTTTTCATTGAGAAAATGTCTTCTTTTTACATTGTAGTTTGAAACTTTTGTATATAATCCTAGCCTCGTTTGTAAAACGAATAGTGGCCTGGTGATGTTTTCGATATGATTGCAGTGAGATTAGTTTTCTACAGCTTTCCATACATGTTAGCTGTGGTTCGAATCCCTCTGGTCCAACATTTTATTTGGCTATAGTACTTCCAATCTGATTGCTCAGGTTTTCTTAAACAACTTTAAGACCGCTGATGAGGGGTTCCCCCAACATTTGAAAACTACCTCGCCTTTGATTGTCGTCACTGAAAGTATTGTGTTCAAGTATTCTCACCTAGACGCTTTAGCCAATATGAATTGCAAATGTAGATAAACTAGCCAGCATTAGACAACTCGTCACTTCATGTGTGAAATTTATATCTTTGTAAAACGAATTGACGGTAAAAATGTCTTATTTTGTTAATCAATTTTATGCACATTTCCATGCTTATATGCCAAAGTATTTTTGCACTCGGTAATTTTGTATATTTTGGAATTTAACGTCAACTTTTTCTAACTTTTTTCAATATAACTTTTGAAATCACATTCCATTTTAATTGTAAAAAGTAAACAATGCTGTGTGTCATCCAATGAAATAATGTTTTGTAGAGTGGTTGAATATAAACACATCCGGCGTTGATTTGATTCTGTAAATTAGAATTTAGCACGTGAGGTATTCTGAATATATAAATTTGATATATTTTACTGCCTGATTGAGCTCAGATGAATAAGGAATTACAAATTAAGCATATGGAGAAAAAAATGTGAAAGCAAGTGAAATGTTCAGATACATGTACTTAAATTTACATGTTTCTACATGTTGGGATATATGAGTATGTGTGTTGTATTGCTAATTACATGAATGAGTATTCGGCCTAAGTATTTATTTATTTGACAAACGTAAATATTGTGCCTTTCATATAATTGGTTTGACGACCATGTATTATGCTGATGTAATATAATGCTGCCTGTTCTATCGATTCCAAGATTTGTTGAAAGTCCTATTTAATAAAAAGTAGCCCAGGCGACTTTTTGACAATAAATTGATTGGGTCACAAATGTAATGGAAATCGAGAGTAATGAAAATGTAAGTGTATCGAGAGCGATATAAATTATAAATATATATATTATGCAATAAATTCATATATATATATATTTTTATGATGAAATAGGAATAATTATAATGCTCTAAACATAACATGTATTGATTTTGTTGACGTTTAATGTTATTACCAAATGAACTTGTAATGGCGCCAAATGATTTCTATACAGTGTACAGTGTATTTTTAAAGTCTTTGTGATGCTTAAGACCAGTACTGAAATGCTACGGCAGTACTTTCTTTTAAAACTCGTAGAACCGGAAGACTCTTACAATAAAGTTCCTGAAACTGTCGTGAGATGTACTTTGCATTTTTTTCTCTATGTAGTTTCTTTTGTCGCCTTAACATTTTCAAATTTAGACGATGTGGGGTGGAGAGACATACGAATCATTTTGTCACGCAAGAGAGATCGAGAAAGTAGGGGTACGATTTTGTATTCACTTTCTGGTCACGTGATGGCTCTATATTCCTGGTTCATAATACTGCCTTCAATCACATGATATGATTCACGCATGTATTAATTTTAATGACTTGACTTGGTTAGACCTTTCTGCGCAAGGTTGGCAAACTGCATTTTTGCCAACAATGGAGGGTCCAACACTGCAAAAATGAAGACGAGTTATTACAGATCACCAAAATATTATTTGATACTTGAAAATACAACATTTTCAACAAAGCTACAAAATAATTCCCACATATGCCTTTTTACTATGTGTTGATGGCGTTATGAGGACTCTTTTGGAAAAATTATGTTGCCAACTACGGCTTCAATTTATGCGCTTACAGCAGCCCATACGAAATGGCGTCAATGTTTACAAACAAAAGAAAGGCCTATAGAAAAGGGAAATATTTCGCTCGTAATCAACATTATTATCAAACGTACCTGCACTTCCGGAGGGCATTGAATGGTTGTGTTGACTGAACCGTTCTACGTAAAAGCCTATATCGGCCCGCAAGTATTTATGTTTTGCAGGCTAGTTAAGTATGACCATGGTCTGACCGCGTATACACAAGCGTGAAACATCACGTGAATGAAATTTCACATGATTTGAACTAACTGTTAAAAATGTCCGTAAATTTACGGACTCCGTAAAGTGAAATATTCCATATTTTCGCCGTAATTTTACGGACTTTCTGTAAATGCAACTATTAATTATGCTAATTAGCGTGATCACAATCAACCACATCGGCCCAAACACCTGACACATAATATAGTACATGTAAATACATATTGTTATTTCACCCACAATTGTGTACACATGTCCAAACTCATGCTAAGGGTCTGTTCATTTTACGGAATGAAGAAACTTTTCCGGAAATTTTGCTGCAGGAATACGGAACGCTATTATTTTTTTTTGCTGGCAGCAAAATTTCCGGAAAAGTGTTTTCCTTCCGTAAAATAAACAGACCCTTAACATGAGTTTGGACATGTGTACACGGTTGCGGGTGAAATAACAATTATGTATTTGGATGTACTATACCACGTGTAGGTTACTTAGATGTACAGTATATTACGTGTAGGTGTTTGGGCCGATGTTGTTGATTGTAATCACGCTAATTAGCATTATTAATATTTGCATTTACGGAAAGTCCGTAAAATTACGGCAAAAAATACGGAATATTTCACTTTACAGAGTCCGTAAATTTACGGACATTTTAACAGTGATAGTTTATAGGCTATAGTTATTCCACGCACGATGGATAGCGTGGTTTCACTGTGGGTTGCTGGGTGCTGCAGCCTCGTTGCGTGCTCGAATCCCGGACATTTTACACTTTCATTTTTGTTCCTCCAAATGTGGATTTTCTTTCCTAATTTTTTTTAATCAAGTCCTACTTATCAATAAACTAAATCATTCATGGCTCTGGATTTGTTATTTGAAGTGGATTGACACGTTAACGGATTGAAAAGGAGTCGGAGTTATCGCAAATAATATGATACAAAATAGAAAGGCCGGTAAGGTTTTTTTTGTTTTGTTACCACCCATTTGGGCTTATTTTAGAGAAGTTTGGCTTACTGGCGTAGCGCGGGAACATCGATCTAGACTGGTTCCCGGTCTCTCCAGGAGGTTTTCATCCCAATGCTGCAAATTATATGCATGACTAGCCTATGTCTGGTTCCCGCCGCCTGAATATAGAATGAAACCGATGATGTTAGCGTAGAATCGGCCAATTACAAAAATGGCGACAAGGAAACCATTCATGTGCAATTAGTGTGGTGTTGAAATGCTTGAAAAATACCTTTGTCGAGACATAGGCGATTTTGCCTATATAGTACAGCGCAAATCTGTAACCATCATTTTAAAAGAAATCATTTTGCGCACGCGCAGGGGTGATCCAAGCAAAATCAATCAAAGTGTGAACTAGCTAGCTAGTATCGATCCCCACATCTACGTGGGGCGGCGGTGCTGTCTAAGGAACATCTTACAGCTGATTCGGCCTGGGTCCTAGGACTGCAGATAGTTGTTGAGCTCATGGCGTTCTTTTATTCTTGCCGCATGCAGGTGCGGTGAGTTGGGTGATCGGATAGGGTTTATTTGGCCTACGGGGTTGGCATGCTTGGGATCGGGGCAGTCTTGGCGGGGGGGGGGGGGGTCTAGCTACCCGATATTCCCCAATTCCTATGTACCCCAATACCTGTGTTCCCCAAAATCCTTACGGTTGGGGTAAGGGATAGATGTTTACGGTTGGGGGTAAGGGTTACGGTAGGGGATCATAGGGATTGGGGAACATAGGTATGTACCCATATTGGTGGGTCGGTGACTGCTCTATGTTCCGACACCCCTATGTTCCGACAACCTAGATTGTGTTACTCCCGGTTAGGGTTAGGGTTAGGAATAGGAATATGTGCAGTCGGAGGGGTGTCGGAACATAGAGGTGTAACCGGTGGGTCGGGGTGTTTTGTGGTGGTTTGGTGGTTACGTTCTCTTAGCAACGTTCGGGTGGGCCCATACCCGGCATGATAGTGTAAAGCCAACCGATAATGCAACAAATTGTCTACCGAATACTGTTATTACTGACCGATAACGTAAAAAAGTGACTGATAGTGTAGTCAGTCATTTCTGTTACATTATCGGTTAACCGATAGTGTAGCAACAATTGACCGATGCTGCATTATCGGTCAATTTTTGTAACACTATCGGTTAGGGATACAGCATTGATCAATTGTTGTTACATTATCAGCTGGTTTTACGGTATCCTTTGGTTATAATCATAGAGCTATATTAGTTTAATATAGCTCTATGGTTATAATATAACTTTGAGCTTCCGGTAAACCCGGGAAGGAAAGGTCAAGTGACATTGCATATTGATATTAAGACTATTCATCAAGGTATGGTCTATCAGATTAGAAAATGTACGAACACGATTTTCAATTTTGTATAGATGTAAGTTCAAATATGGTTATTATAAATGGTAATGTGTATACCTCTGTATCACGATCGCTGTTTATTCCAAGTTTTTAGTTCATGCTGTGAACAGTTTTGAAGAAAAATATCATTGTCCTAAAAAGAGAGCGAGAAAGAAAGGAAAAACTCGAACATTTGTAAAATGGTGACCGGGTGGTACCCAATCACCAAAATAGTGTTTTGCTGTGTTTCGGGTTGTGTGTATGGAAGACATGATAGCTGTGAAACGCATTTCTGGTGTGCATGCAGCTACTCAAAACTAGAATCAGTACGTATCGATAGACTTCAATATGGGCTTTTACGGAGCTTCTAACGTCCTTGGAGTTGATGCAATATATGCTTTACTAAAAAAATAACCGTTTTATGGCTTTTTTGTCTGTGCATGGGTATAATAAACTTCTGCTCTGAGCTAATAAAAAAAATGGTCTGTGGCTAAATCGTATCAACATGTTAATTTTCTGCATTAAGGTTTATGAGAGAAAAATTGGTTAGAATCGATTGCAATCACTGGTAAAAAAAAGGAACAGAATTTTAATTTTGAATGTTTCGTGTGATTTGTATATACAGCACTATAGTCAGAAGTGATTCTACGATTCCATTAAGAGTTCAGTTTGGGAAAATATAACGGTCCCTGGATCACAATTTAACTCTTCCCCTGTGTCGGAGAAATCGACAGCTACACATCATGACTATTTTTGGATTATGACTAGATTTCAGTTATTTCTTTTACAATGTTCATGTCTATTTTGTCAAAAGTCAAAAGAAAAAACATGGTAGCTAAACCCTTAATGACGTTTTGGTTTGATTCACAATAGGAAAAAAGTGTGCAAACATTGTTAGATATAATGCGGGACTTTTGTGTTCCCCTCACTTCGAAAAAAAAATCCTTGGATGAAAACGTTTCCATATCGTTGCTTATACGAGATATTTAAGTTGACCTTCGTCATCGATAATGAAAAATCACGCACTACTATAGCATACAAAAGAAACCAGGAATAACTAAAACATTGAGACAGGAACAGACTTGTACATAGATTTATTGGACATAACACAACCCAGATTATAACAAGTCTCTGCTCGAGATTATCAAAGCAACCGACGTGTCATTTAAAAATAATGAAGATAGGAGAGAGAATCTGTCTTGAGCAATAGTATGCCTTCTGTGAAGAATAATGTGCAGTGTGTTGAAAATGCCACTATTCGCGGACCGGTTATAAGTTTTCGGTTTCATTTCGATTTCAATATCGTTAGCCTAATTACAATGTACAATCACAATCATGA